GGGGCGATATGCTGACTCTGTAAACCGCTTAGAGAGGGCTGAAAGCCCTATGAAGCGGTATATAAGTCTAACTGCTATTGCTATTGCTATGACTAGAAGTTGAAAAGACTTTCTTCTGGAGGAACACGTCCATACTTACATCATTCTTCAAATGGCTGTGCACCTCCTTTTCGGACGTCTGTTGACTTTGTGTCGAAGTGCGGTCTCCTGATGTGGCATCAATCCATTTGTTTTCAGGGGTACCTATAATGTTGGTAGCCATACTGGTAAGATTGAGGATTTTGTGCCTTGCAAATGGCGGGAAAGGCTGGTCTTTGCCCCAATCTGATTGATATGTGGAGATCAAAAGAAATTGAAAAAGGAGACAGGGGGCAATGTCAACGTGTACCGGGAACTGACCAAAATACATCCCAACAACACAAAAAGAGGAGGGGGAAAAATATATATATATATATAATAGAGGGCAGGAGAAGGAGGGAGTGATTTGGGATGTTAATGTGGAATAACCTGTGAGGGCTTTTTATGAAAAGACCGCCTTTTCCCCAAAGCAAGGAGTTAGTCAAAAGAATGCACAATTAACAGCAAGTTTACTAACAGCAACGATTCTATAGACCACTTTGTCCCCAAAGCAAGAATTAGTCAAAAGCTTGCACACACAAAAAAAAGCAAGTTTACTAACAGCAACTTTATTTTAAATTAGAATAATTTCAAAACATTGGGAAGTGAAGTGGATCTTAGAGCAGAGGTGTCAAGGTCCGAGGACCAGATCTGGGTCACAGGGCATTTAGATCTGGCCCAAGGGGATGTCCTGGAAATAGTGAAGGGCCGGCCTGCGGTGTCTCTGCCAGCAAAAACAGAGCTTGGAAGGACTCTGTGCGGTTCTCGTGAGCATCATTTTCACTGTCGGAGAGTTGCAGGAGGCCATTGCGGCTGGAAACAGAGCTCGGGAGCCTGTTTTTGCTAGCGGAGGACTCAGGGCATCACGGGTATACGAATGCCGTCAAACTGGTCACATCCTCCCCCCCCCCAAGGTCAAACACATATGTGGCCCTCAATGAAATTGAGTTTGACCCCCATCTTCACACATATCCAATGAATAAAGGTAAAGGTTCTTCTCGCACATATGTGCTAGTCGTTCCCGACTCTAGGGGGCGGTGTTCATTTCCGTTTCAAAGTGGAAGAGCCAGCACTGTCCGAAGACATCTCCATGGTCATGACTAAATGCCAAAGGTGCACGGAATGCTGTTATCTTCCCACCAAAGGTGGTTCCTATTTTGCTACGTATTTTTTACAATTGCTAGATTGGCAGAAGCTGGGACAAGTAACGGGAGCTCAACTCCGTTATGCAGCGCTAGGGATTCAAACCGCCAAACTGTCGACCTTTGTGATCGACAAGCTCAGCGTCATAGCCGCTGAGCCACTGCGTCCCTATCTAACGAATAGACAAAATCAAAGCACATTGCGATCAACCCTTTCCAGGAACATCTTTACTTCAGGACATGACTTCCCAATTTCTAGAAAGTAAACTTGCTCAACCCGCTAGTTGCCCTGCAATTCATGCAACGATGACAAAATAATAAATATATTTCTTGCCACAGATACTTTTTAATTCTTTTTTACAAGAGCAGAAATACGAACCACAGATACTTTTTAATTCTTTTTTACAAGAGCAGAAATACGAACCA